TGCCATCTGCCACCAGGGGAGTGGGCCTAAGCCAGCAGGTGGTCATCCCCTGAGGGGTCCCAGACTGTGAGAGGGCATAGGCCAGGGTGAGCCCCCCCCCCCACGAGTGCACAAATTTTTGTGCACTGGGCCTCTAATATACATATAAATTTTTTTAAACTGCCAGCTGATTTCTCAACAGAAACTTTGCAGGCCAGAAGGAATTGGCACAGAATACTCAAAGTAATGTAAAGCAAGGACCTAGCCTGGCCTGCGTGGCTCAGTAGTTGAGCATTGACCTATGAACCAGGAGGTCGTGGTTTAGTTCCCACTTGGGGCACATGTCTGGCTCTATCCTCAGTGGAGGCCATGCAGAAAGCAGCCAGTCAGTGATTCTCTCTCATCATTGATGTTTCTGTCTCTCTCCCTCTCCCTTTCTGAAATCAATAAAAAAAAAATTTAAAAAAGAAAGAAAAGCAAGGATCTACAACTAAAATCACTCTGCCCAGCAAAGCTATCATTTAGAATTGAAGAACAGATAAAGAGCTTCCCAGGCAAAAAACTAAAAGAGTTTATCACCATCAAACCAGCATTACAAGAAATGTTAAAGGGTCCTGAAGAAGGAAAAAAAAGGATCAAAACCCTGGCTGGTGTGGCCCAGTTGGTTAGAGCGTCATCTGTACACTGTAAAGTTGTTGGTTTGATTCCTAATCAGGACACATACCCAGGTTCTAGGTTTAATCCCTGGTAAAGGTCATACAGGAGATAATCAGTGTCTGTCTCTGTCTGTCTCTCTCCATCCCTCCCTCTCTCTAAAAATAAATAAACATATCCTTGGGTGAGAATTTTAAAAAGTTTTTTAAATGATCAAAACTAGGAATAATAAAATGGTAATAAATACATATCTATTAACAATTACTTTAAATGCAAATGGATTAAATGGTCCAATCAAAAGACATATGGTGGCTGAATGGATAATAAAACAAAACTCTTATACCCTAGCCAGTTTGGCTTACTGGATAGAGCATTGGCTCCTAGACTGAAGGGTCCTGGGTTTGATACCAGTTCAGGGCACATACCTCAGTTGCAGGCTTGATTCCCAGCCCTTGTCTGAACGCTTGCAGGAGGCAACCAATTGATGTGTCTCTCTCACATTAATGTTTTTCTCTCTCTGTCTTTTACTCTCCCTTCTACTCTCTCTAAATATCAATGGGAAAATATCCTTGGGTGAGGATTAACAAAAAAAAAACCAATGTCAAACATAACAAAAAATACCGCCACATGACCCTTACATATGCTGTCTACAAGAGACTCACTTCAGGTAAAAAAACACACACAAACTGAAAGTGAATGGATGGGAAAGATATTTCTTGAAAATAGAAATGAAAAAAAAAAAAAAAAAGCTGGGGTAGCAATACTTATACCAGACAAAATGGACTTTAAAACAAAGGAGATGGGTCCTAGCTGGTTTTGCTCAGTGGATAGAGTGTCGGCCTGTGGACCGAAGGGTCCCAGGTTCGATTCCAGTCAAGGGCATGTACCTTGGTTGCAGGCTTCTCTCTGGCCCAGGCCCTGGTCAGGGCTCGTTCAGGAGGCAACCAATCAATGTGTTTCTCTCACATTGATGTTTTTTTCTGTTTTTCCCTCTCTTCCACTCTCCCTAAAAATCCATGGAAAAAGATCCTCTGGTGAGGATTAAAAACACACACAAACCCAAAGGGGATAACGAGACAAAGAAGGATCCAGCAATTCCACTTCCTGGTATTTATCTGAAGAAACCCAAAACACTAAATCGAAAAGACATATATTCATTGCAGCATTATTTACAATAGCCAAGCTATGGAAGCAACCTAAGTGCCCATCAATAGATGAATGGATAAAGACGTGGTGCATGTATACAATGTTATACGACTCAGCCATAAATGAAATCTTGCCATCTGCAACAC